TGAAGATGAACACTGCTCGAATCATCCCCAGAGCGCCCGTCTTGTGTTGGCTTTGACTCTGCTGTTTGCGCTCCTCGATGCGGGCGAACCATTTCGTCCTCAGACAAGTCTTCGGGAGCCTCGTCGGCCCGACCTTCACCATGTGCGCCTGTTGCCGATGCAGCTGCTACGGGAGCAGGCGTCCAACCGGTCTGTTTGCTTTCACTGCCAACGCTAGCTTTCGCAGGTGCTTCACCTGACACGCTTGTGGATTTTTCGCCTCCAAACCATGACACTCCCTGCAACAACTTTTCAAAATGCCGTTTACTCGAGGAATTGGGAACTCCTTTGGGAGAGCCTGCCGCTTCCGACGCTTCACTCTTGGTGCATCTGCTGGTTCCTGGAGTTGCTACGTCTGAAGCAGCTGCTGTTGCAGCGTCTCCAACTGTCGCCTGAGCAGTTCGCATTGGGCCAACGAGCTCGTTCGCAGAAGAGCCGCCGGCACGACTGCCTGCTTGAATTGGTGCATCTGTCTTCCGCTCCCCTTGTTCTCCGTCGCGGTCGGCGCCACCCTCCGCATCTGGTTTGATCCCTGCGTCATATTGGACAAAATCTCTTGCACTGCGTGCTAGCTTTAGACGAGGCGTCAATGGAGAGTTCAAAAGGCAGCAGCGAAAGTCAGCGAAGCAACAGCGAACAAAAGGATAAGCTGAAGGATCACCAAATATCTTCAAAGAAACTTTACCTAGGCTGGATCCACCAGCCTGCTTTTCTAGCACTGTAGAAAGTCGACCTGCTTTCCGCTTTGGAACTGCAGCACCAACAAGTCAGGCCTACATTGCTGTAGACTCAGCAGCATGCTTGAAAGTCGAATGACTTTTCCATTTTCTGCAGCTGGCACAAATGCAACTGCTGCAGCACGAAACACCAAAACGGTCTGTTTGCTTTCCCTCTGGTTGAAGCTTCAGGTCCACCTACATTTTGTCTTTTGCGCACGATCTGAAACCGTGAGGATCAGCTCTTCCGTTAGTGCCAACAAATCGCGGGTAAACTGCAATGCCATAACCACCCCACAACAACGCTTTGCCAATGGTCCCAGCTGTAGCTAAGCGCCCCATTGCCGCACGAGGACTCGAAGACTAACCCTCTCAGGAAACCGTTTGCTAAACGGGTTATTTGAAAATATCTTCCCCTTCAATTGTGCTAAGGAGCTTTGAGATTTCATTTCCTGCAGGGAAATCGCAGAAACGCCAGACACAGCTGGCACTGCTCCAGACGTTGATCTATAACCTGACGTTCATCTCTCCAAATTGCTGTTTACCTCCCTACTGGTCCTTGCACGCAAAAACAGGGCGTGAGTTGAGTAATCAGCAAGCTACTTACTTCCTCCTCAAACTGAATATAGAAAGTCACTGTACCAACGCCGCATATATCACAGTCCGCCTTGACCGTAGCTGCAGGGACCCCCAATATACGCAAGAGAGGGCAATAAAAGTTAACGTCAAGCATGCGAGCCACAGTTCAAGGAGAACTCTGTGTGCGGAAATTTCGGAGCATGCTTATCTGCATTGACTCATACAGGTGCTGCCGGTGCTACTGCAGCTGTTGCTTAGCATTGAATCGAGCAGAATCGGTGACTGCCTCTTGTATCTTACCGCAAAACGGTTCGCTATGGGGAGAGCAGAGGTTACCCATGGATTCCGCAAGCTTCAGTAGTACTTTTCGTAGCTCGGCATAGTTCTGAAGTGAGCAATGCACGAGACATGCACCGCATCTAGGGGGCTGCTGGAGCAGCACTAAGCAACCACAAATTAAACAACACCCACTGAATTCCGGGAAGGTCGGCGTGCAAAGGAACCATGCTGATGGTTTTGTTGTTGTTGCTATATTGTGGACCTACGTGTGCCTTGAGGTTCGGAAAGTCATAAGGTTTTCGCAAATCTTTGTAGTGGGGCGACTTCGAATCCCCTACGGCCAACTTCGCGTTAAAACGCCACTCGCCCTCAGGTTGAGGTGCTTCTGAGCTCCTGGTAGCAGTCTCACCAGCTATTCCTGCTGTTGCTGGGCTTGCTGCCACAGCAGACTTTGGTGCTGTGCGAGATATTTTCTTGCCAGCAGATTCCAAGAGGCCAGCCAGTGGTCCTACCCATCTCGCACGCCCAAGCCTATCCATTTTACGTTCCACAGATTCCCTTCCAGGAGCTGCCTGGGCACCTTGCGGCTCGGCGCTTGTGCTCTCGCCATCGTTACTGGTCCTACCTCGACCACTGCATACAATGTCATAAAGAGGAGTGCTGCAGTTGCTGTTGGAGTCGTCATCCTCGTCATCTCCTGCTGCTTCTGGAACTGCTGCCGCGGCATCGCCAGATGCTTCGTCTTCACAGCTGCTGCTGACGCCTTCCTCTGCTGCTCCTGTTCCTGGTGCTTGAGTGCTTGCTGCATCTAACTGGGGAGGAGACTCGTCGTGGACGCCGGGCGATGTTCGACGGTTGTTATTCCTCAGGTCACCACATGGAGTGTTTTCATCAGCGTCCTGAGTGACGCGCCAAAAAGCTCACGCTTGAAGTGGAGCACAAGGATGAGACAGAAACTACACATGGCGTAAGACTGTTGGCTCAGATACATTCGAAGTGCAGATTTCCTACACCTACCGAGGAGAGCGAGGAAGTGTCGCCATCCAAGTCGGCATCCCCAATCCTCCTCCCAGGATTCGAACGGCGTTTAAATAGATGTCGAGCGCAGAGAGCCACCAAAAGTACGATGGTGGAGTAAACTAGCAGCTTTAGTGCTGTGGAACGCTTCCAATACACCCCTACTGCTGACAAGCCACACCCTGAAATAGGCCGAGTAGCCTGAGGGAGTAAACCTGAGTCCCGATTATTTGTCGGGCTGGTGGACCACTCATAATGCAATTCCTCCCCCATGAGTGCCAATTAAGGAGCTCAAAGGAGTCAGAACCCTGGAGTGCGTGGCCCCGTAACAAATGGCTTGAATTGAGGAGTTGGAACGGAGCCGAGCCTGCCCAGACTTATTCAGAGGGGACGTGGTGTTGTAGATGTTGGCTATTTTTAAATTTTTAATCAAGAAGAAATACAGTACGGGCCTTGCCTGCCCAAGCGCTCTAAACGAACACAAAATCGACGGGCATCTGGGGTAGGAGGGCCGTCCTTGTCTTACTCTGGGAACGCATTATTGGCCAGATTACAGTGGCAGAAGAAATTTTTCATTGCGTTGCTGCCTAGCTACTCGCTGATGACGCGAGGCGTGAACGGAAAGGTGTCCCCTGCGTAGAGTAGTCCCCAGTGGCATGGTATGGCTGCTGTTTTTCTGAAAACTGCGGCGTTCGTTACCCTCAGTTACTCAGCGGATTCTCAGGATTTTCATGTAGTATTACAAATGCTTTAATGTCCCACAGGAATCCCCTAGAGTAACGTATCCAGACGCACCCCTGCACAGGAGTCGTGGGCGTGCAGACTTGCGAGCGGCTTAGCACAATGAGTTCTGTGCAGCGTAGCTCGGTACTATCTAAAGTGAAGCGCAACACCTATATTCATCTACGGTACGCTTTTCGAAAAGAAAATGGCTGGGGAGCGGCCGTTGTAACGCCCCGTGTACAATGGGTATGGGAGGCCAGACAATGGTGGGGGTCAACGCGAGTGGAGGCAAACATCAACCAAAACATGCCGCGCAAAAATGTTTTATTAGAGGAGACAAAAGGGTTTGCCTAGTTATCTTGTATCGGAAACGAAATGTTAATGAGAAGTCGGTGCGTAGGACGTTGGCATAACGTGAATCATGGGGCGTGCAGCGTCCCATCGTGAGCGAAGGAGCTAACTGAAGATCGTCGCATCTCAATTCTTAGAGCGCAAATCGCCCAATAACTGCGTAAAAGCCTTTCCACAGCGATTCCCTGTGTGTTTTCTGTTGACGCTGATGCTCAGGGTAGCGCAGTAGCCACGAAGTCTTTGTTGCCCTGCCCTGTTGAGATTGCCGAGCGCGAGTCTAGTTTTGTGCACCACAATAGTAGTTGAGCACCAGAATAGGGGAGCAGGACCGGCTTTCAAAAATTAGACTGTTCGGAAGAAGATAGTATTAGCTCGAAGCTCATATTCTGGGAGGACAGGACTCTGGAAAAGTTGAAGTCACAAGACACTTTGACAAAGCCCTCCTTTCGTCTGCAGCAACCCCGCTCACAGTGCAGGTTTGGCGCAATCCGAACGGCTAGTTCTCTATATATGAGAGATCCAACTACCTGATTTGATTTAATCAGTATTTTCAAGCGTTTTGGTTGACGTTAAGTTGAGTGGATGAGAACAGAAGGCAAACGGAGCACGTACGGAGCCAGGAACCTGTGCTGGACGTGATGACCAAACACCAAGCCGCGTAGCCACTGCCCTGTTCTGGCAACGCGCCGGAGAACCCGTGAAGTCAAACTTTCTGAGGAATGGCTCCAATTATCCGTACATATGGTTTTTGCAAATTTTTGTAGACGTCTCGTCTTTTATGCGCCTTCAAACGGCGGCGTAGCAATGTTTTGCGAACGGTGCGATGCTAGGAGATACACACTGCCACCCCAGGTAGCCCTCCCAATCTCAAGAGGTAAAGCTCTCCGTACTTGCAAAGGCCCTAACATGAGGGTGTTCCGCCAAGCACTGAGGTTAGGCTACGATGCCCGGCATAGACTGAGTATGCACGCAGTCTGGGTCGCTAGGAACAGGGACATCTCGGAAAGAGACCCTTAGCCTTAGGGTATCCGGCCAGGCACTGACGTTAGGCTACGATGCGGGGCACAGACTCAGTGTGTATGCAGCATGCGTCGGCAGAAACCGAGCCATCTTGGAAAGAGATACCACACACACCACGGGGACCTCTGCAGCGGGAAGAGAGGAACAGATGGAGGAATGTAATGTGAAGAAAGAAGCCCTGAGGGACTGCGTGAGGACTGTTGGCTTAGAGGGGCCTACACACGAGCAAATTGCAGGAGGTGATGGGCAGAAAACGTTTCAGCGTGCTGTTCTGTGAGCGTCCTCCAAAGAGAAAAGCGCTTCGAGTTGCATGCCACTTCAATAAGGACGTCTGCTGTGCACAAGCAGTCCTGCACCCGCAATGAAGTTCGCTGCTGCGTAAGCACTACTGCACGGACAAGGAAACACAAAGGGCATGTGGCTCATGCCATGCTTCAGTGATTTATGAGGCTTATCACTTAACTAAAACCCTCTAAAATGCACTGGCATAGTTCACGGTGTTCGAAGGTCTCGAGCTCCGGAGATTCGGGCAACTCTTTTAGGCTTCTCAGCAAAAGTGTTTGAAAGAAAGTAACAATATGTCGAGCTTTCTTTGCTCTTCAAATATAATTGTTAACGCATTGGTTCAGTAGACCTGAAACCCTAGGTACCATTCGCATATGGTAAGTCCCGCGTGTCTAATATGGAGCTCACTGTCTTCTTCTGTGGGCTCTATATTATATACTCCAAGGCGAGACCTCATTTTCACGTTTGCTACAGTTGCAGTGGAAGTAAAGCAGATGCGCGACCCTGTTGTCTGCAGCGCAACACCGCTTCCATCGGACGCACTAGCCAAACCTTTCTGTGCTCGATTAAGCAGCGCATTTAGTCACGTTTGGTTGAAGCCATCACATTTGGACGTGGCCCTTCCCATTACCTTTGCCAGTTCGGCACTTTCCACATTTAAGCACAACGGCGAATGAAAAGGGCTAACTTAGGGCCCACCAAGTGCCTTCAAAGAAGCTTTGCCCATGTTGGCTCCAGCAGCCTGCTTTTCTAGCACTGTAGAAAAGCAATCTGCTTGGCGCCTTGGCACAAATAAGTCAGGGCTACATTGCTGCAGGCTCAGCAACATACTCCAAACTCAGGTAAGGTTTACATGTTCTGCAACCGTTACTAATGCAGCTGCTGCAGCACGAAGCGCCAAGGCGGTCTGTTTGCCTTCACTGCCTACGCTAGCTTTTGCAGGTGCTTCACCTGGTGTGTCTGTGGTTTTTCTGCTGCCAAACTACGGTCTTCCCTGTAATGAGATATCAGAATCGCCTTTATGCAAGGCTTTACGCGCTCCTTTGGCAGACCCTGCCTCTTCCGACGCTTCACTCTTGGTGCATCTGCTGGTTCCTGCAGTTGCTGCATCTGAAACAGCTGCTGTTGCAGCGTTTTCAACTGTCGCATGAACAGTTTGCACTAGGTCAACGAGCTCGCTCGCAGAAGAGCCGCTGGTGCATCTGTTTTCGGCTGCCCTTGTTCACCGTCGCGGTCGGCTCACTCGTTTCAATTTGCTTTGATCCCTGCGTCACATTGGACGAAATCTCTTGCACTGCGTGTTAGCTTTGGACGAGGCGTCAATGGAAAGCCCAAAAGACAGGAGTGTAGAGCAATAAGGCAACCGCGAAAAAATGGCAAGCTGAAGGATTACCAAATATCTTCAAAGAAACTTTTCCTGTGCATGCTGCAGCAGCTGGCTTTTCTAGCACCGTAAAATGAAGCTCTGTATGACCCGTTCGCACTGCAGCACAAACAAATCAGGCCTGCGCGCCTGAAGACTCAGCATCGCACTTGAAAAACCAACCTGTGCAGCTACACTGTGCATGCTCAAGAGATTGTCAAACTGCGAACAAGACGCTGAGAAGTGGAAGACAGCAACTCGAGCACAACCAAACCTTGAAGCTTCAGATACACCTACTTTCTGTCCGTTGCGCATGCTCCGAAACCTCGAGGCTCAGCTATTCCATTAGCGCCAACAAATCGCGTACAAACTGCAATGTTATTACAACCCCACAACAGCGCTTTGCCAGTGGTCCCAACTGTGGCTAAATGCTCCATCGCCGCACGAGGACTGGAAGACTAACCTTCACAGGAACCCGTCTGCTAAACGGATTATCAGAAAATAGTCTTCCTCTAAGTTTGCCTAAGGAGCTTTGATTTTTCATTTCCTGCAGGGAACTCGCAGATACGCCAAGCACAGCTAGCACTGCTCCAGGTATTGCTCTATAACCAGGCACTCATCTCTCCAAATTGCTATTTACCTCCCTACTGGTCCTTGCAAGCACAAGTAGCGCGTGATGTGAGTAGTCTGCAAGGTACTTGCTTCCTCCACAATCTCAATATGCAAGGTCACAGTACCAACGCCGCATATATCACAGTCCGCCTCGACCGTAGCTGCAGAGACCCCCAATATACGCAGGAGAGGGCAATAGAAGTTAACGCCAACCATGCAAGTCACATTTTAAAGAGCTCTCAGTGTACGGAAATTTCGGAGCATGCGTATCTGCATTGGCTCATACAGGCGCTGCCGGTGCTACTGCAGCTGTTGCTTCGCATTGATTCAAGCCGAATCAGTGACTGGCTCGGGTATCTTACCTCGAAATGGTTCGCTATGGGGAGAGCAGAGGTTACCCATGGATCCCTCAAGCTTCAGTAGCTCTTATCGTATCTCAATATAGTTCTGAAATGGGCAAGGCACAGGACGCGCACAGCGTCTAGGGGGCTGCTCGAGCAGCGTTAACCAACGATAACTTAAACAACGCTCCTTGAACCCCATGAAGGGGGGCATGCATAGGAACCATGCTCATGTTTTGTTGCTGTTGCTATGTTGTGGACCTACGTCTGCCTTGAGATTCGGAAAGTCATAAGATTTTCAAAGATCTCTATAATGGGGAGAATTCGAATCCCCCAAGGCCAACTTCGTGAAGTGGCGCCTACCCTTTTCAGGTTCAGGTGCCTCTGAACTGCTGGCAGCAGTCTCATCCGCTGCTTGTGCTGCTGGTGGGTTTGCTGCCACGTCAGGTTTTGCTGCTACGCCAGCTTTCTCCTTGCCAGTAGTTTCCAAGGGGCCAGCCAGCGGTCCTATCCATCTCGCACGCCCTTGCCTTTCCACTTTATGTTTCTCAGCTAATTCTCCAGCAGCTGCATGAGCATCGTGCGGCTCGGCGCTTGTGGCCTTGGCATTGGTCACGGTACTCTCTTGATCACTACGTACAACGTCATAAACAAAATGGCCGCAGTTCCTGCCGGAGTCGTAATCCTCTTCATCTGCTGCTGCTTTTGGAGCTGCTGCCGCGGCATCGCCAGATGCTTCGTCTTCACAGCTGTCGCTGACGCCTTCCTCCGCTGCTCCTGTTCCTGGAGCTTGAGTGCTTGCTGCTTCCGACTGTGGAGGAGACTCGTCGTGGGCGTCTGGTGATGTTTGACGGTCATCAAACTTCAGGTCTCCAGATGGACTGTTTTCATCGGAGTCCTGAGTGACGCGCCAAAAGCGCACGCTGGGAGTGGAGCACAGGGGTGAGACAGAAACTACACGCGGCACGAATCTGTTTGGTCTGATACATTTGGAGTGCAGATTTCCTACACCTACTTGCGAGCGGGATGAGATATCACCACCCAAGTCTGAATCTCCAGTCCTGCAACCATGTTCCGACAAGTGCTGTAATTGACGTCGAGCGCAGAGAGCCACAAACAGCACGACGGCGGAGTAAACTAGCAGCTTTAGTGCTGTGGAATATTGCCAATATACCGCTACCACTGGCAAGCCAGACCCTGAAATAGGCCGAGTAGCCTGAGGGAGTAAACCTGAGTTGTTTATCGGGTTAGAGGACCACTCATAGTGCAATTCCTCCCCCATGAGTGCCAATTAAGGAGCTCAAAGGAGTCAGAGCCCTGCAGTGTGTCCGGGGAATT